CTTTTTTATTCTCCAAATACTGCCAGCACGTTGTGGCCGTGTTCATAATTGATATTGATTGTGCGCTTTTTCTTTTTACATTATTAATGCTTCCATTATTTTCTGCAATATTTTTACGAGTATGTTGCGTACGAAATCTGGTAAGTTTACGTGTGTGTACATCTGAGTCTTATATCAATACGAACAGAAAGAATTTAAAAAAAAATTTAATCTCAGTTTCTTGTCAGTTGTCTTAAATGAAACATCGCTTTGTCTGTATGTCTGTCTGTCACCTCTCTCTCTCTCTCTATCTCTCTCTCCATATATATATATATATATAGATAGATAGATAGATAGATAGATAGATAGATAGATAGATAGATTTACTGGGAGCAACGGCAACATTATCCAAATCGTGCTACAGCAAAATTGTCAAATTGTTAGGTTAAGGTTAGAAATCGTTGTACCTTAGAAAAGATCAAAGATGTCTTACTGGAATTCTCCGAGGTTTTTATAACACTATTGCACTCTACCTTGAGCAATAAGAATGCATAATTACTCTCAAAGCTTAACAGAAATATCGTGATGAAAACGGTCATAATAAAAAATGACATATTCATGTATGTGTGTGTGTATGTAGTCATATCTAAGGATTGGAACATCATGAAGGATTGAAATTAAGTTAATATATATATATATATATATATATATATATATATATATATATATATATATATATATAAACATAACACATTAGGCAGCATATGATTTACATACAAAAAAATGTTAAGGAAAAAAAAACACATGCCTGATGATGGATGGAAGACTGTCCGTAAGTACTAGCATTTTAACATCAAATAAACTGAAAAACTACAGACAAGTTTTTCTTTAAGGATCAAAACTCGCACTATGGATGAACAGGATTTTAATGCATATATTATGTTTTCTAGCGATGGATGTCGCCAATAATCTGATTAATTCTATGTGTGATTATTCTTTATATATATATATATATATATATATATATATATATATATATATATATATTCCAGGCTAATTTTCCAACTTATTCAAAATGATCTTCACCCTCTCTAACTTTCTGTCCTGGAATAATAAGGTGCCTCACATATTTCACGTACGATTTCATTTTCAAGTATTTTTCACTGGTCTTTGAACTGTCATAACTGGAACACCTTGCTTAAATGTCTTTTCTAATTGATCACTTTATCTCTAAGTTGAAATGATGATCCCTCTTCTTGTTGTGATCTCCTGATCCGGTTTTCCTCTCTACTGTTCCCTCTTTTTTAAACTTATTTTCCTTTCCTTTGATGGTTCTTGAATGGACTTTCAAGATGGAAGCCAGAGTACGGAATTTGCTGCCATTACTTAAGGCCTCAATGCTATTTTCTCTCGCCATTGCTAAGTTGGGAATATATAGTGGTTCTGAAACAAAATGATTTTAACCCGTTCGTTTTCTAGCAGAATAACGCACAGGGTTTTTCAGTAATTCTTACGACAAATGGATGGTGCCAAGATGGTTAAATCTCTTATCGGAACACCTCAATCTCATGTTTTTCTTTCTCTCCGATTTCTCAATTCGAGTTACTATCCATTGAATCATCGCGCATAAATATATATATATATATATATATATATATATATGTGTGTGTGTGTGTGTGTGTTCCAATTTAGTAATAGTCGTGAATATAACAATAAAGATGAAGACAATTGTCCAAACAATGTAAATAATTTAACGTGTTACAATACAATTTCAGAAATATATATATATATATATATATATATATATATATATATATATATATATATATATATATATATATATATATATATGTGAAAAGTGAATATAAATATAAATAAATATATATATATGTATAATTATTTATATATTATATGCGCGGTACTTATTAGAAAGCGCTCAATATCAGAGATAGAGCTAACATATTTGGTTGGATAGATGTGAGTTTGTGACCCTGGGTTTCACGCTTTAGCGATTAAAGCGTGAAACCTAGGGTCACAAACTCACATCACATCTATATATATATATATATATATATATATATATATATATATATATATATATATATATATATATATATATATATATCTCCTCTGGTGCAGAAACTCCATAACTTTAAATGTGCCACTAGATTAGCATCTAGATCCCACCAGTTTACAATTGAAAGATGTAAATATAACCGCTACTTCGACTTCAAAAATTTCTTTTCACGCACTTCCCGCCTGTGGAACGCCCTCCCGTTTACTTGTTTCCCTGATAACTCCAAACTTCAAAAATTTAAATTCAACCTCAGTCGCACTCTTCTGCAATACCGTTCATCATTTTTCCTTTCCTCAATCCTCCCTATGCTCAATCTTTTCTCTCATTTTCACTCCCTGCAACCCCCCCTGGGTACTAGTGGCATTCCCGCCTTCCTTGGATGAAATGATTAAAAAATAAGTATATGCAGGATGTATCAAAATAGTTTTACAAACTTTGGGGGCGCCAAAACAAAGACAAAATTCCATATAAACTGTGAAAGCGTTTGGCACGGTGTGGGAGTAGTTGGATGTGTCCCACCAGTCAATCGCTGGGTTCATGGGCGTGGAGAAGCAATTGAAAGACAATTTGAGGTTGAACGATAGCCTTTTTGATATATGTTTACTTGGGCATTTTACCTTGTTTAAGTGTCAGGATTCCACTCGCAAAGTTTGTAAAAGTATTTTTGATATAACCTGTATACACACACATGCAAAAACACACACACAGATAGATAGATAGATAGATAGATAGATAGATGTGCGTATGTAATGTGTGTGTAGGTATATATATATATATATATATATATATATATATATATATATATATATATATATATATATATATATATATATGAAGAAAAAATATACTGAAAAAAACAAAACAAAAATTCTAATATGCGATTATGCTGTTTTAATGTTTAATATCAACGTCGGATGTTTCGGTCTAATAGACCATCTTCAGGACATATTCATAAAACATAATTAACATAGACCATATACAATTCAATATGAAAAAGACGATGGACATAAAAGCAATAGCAATCCAAACAGATAACTTAAAGCTTTTAGAAGATCAGCGTTCCGTTCAGCATATTAGGATTTTTATGTTTTTTCAGTATATTTTTCTTCATACTGTCGGATCTATATCCATATATTTGCTTACATATATATATATATATATATATATATATATATATATATATATAGAGAGAGAGAGAGAGAGAGAGGGAGGGAGAGAGAGATTACATTATTCATTTAAACCTACTTCTTTTATTTCACGAAAGATGTGTATAAAATTCATACTTCTAATGGTATGATGAAAATTATAAACTTATATATCAAATGCGTTTTTTATTCATTATTGCCGTCTTAGAAGAAGTTAATTTTACCACTAAACATTTGTATGATTTATTTTTTTTCTTTTTTCTTAAGTATGAGTGGCAGTAGAGAATTTTCTCTTCTAACTTGTCAGTCACTTACTGAGTGCAGTGAATTCATGTTGTGCATTTTTTCTTGAAATCTATGCACTTAACTTTACTAATAGCGACGAGTTCAATCAATAATTCCAATCATTCAATCAATATATCAATGTAACAAAATTAATGTGCATTTGTACATGTTCTGGTTTCATTTTTAAATAATTTTTCTGTTAAGTTTTGAAATGATCATTAAGAAAAAACTCTAAGCTATATCAATTAAGTAACCAATGTAGAGATAACAGGTACACTGAAGGTACATAATGGCGTAGTTGGTAGCAACCTCACAAGTCTTTTACCATGGCAAATGTTCAGAGAAGCATTTCATTCTTTAGTTCCACAAGTTAGGACCTTTTATATCTAGGACACACCATGCTACTTCCTAGGAATCGAATCATCCTCATTTCCTCCATGGTCCAAATATAAAGAGAAAATTCCACTCACTTTTTTCTCCAAGAAGCGATACACTATGGAACAGAATCCCGCGTGTATGTTTCCCTGTAGACTATAATGTTACCCTCTTCAAATCAAGGCTTACTTCCTAATCATTATAATGTCTGCCTCCTATCACCTCGTTTCATTCATACCACACGTAATATCCATCATAATAATTTTCACATTGAATGACTCACGATACTGTGAAGGAAGGCATAAAGACAAACATTGCTATGAGCTACAGAAATGGAAAGTTGGCAAGAAACTGACAAGCGTCAGTCGTTTACTGCTTATCAATTGAAAGAGTCAACATCAAAAGAGTCAACTGGCTTAACATTTATATAAACTCAGAATTTAAAAGAAACAATGGTCAATAGAAACTACTAAATGCTTTTTTCTGATATACATGGGAAATATGGCTTGGTGAAGACGACACTCACATGACAGAATGAAGGAACGACGAACGGAAGAAATATCGAATAACCTACTTAACTTGAGCGTGCAAATTGATGATAAAAAACAAGAGATAGTAAGGAATCAAACATTGCTTATAGCTACAAAGGAAAGGAAGTTATGTAGAAACATAATCGCCAACGTTTTGAAAAATGACTCCTAAAATAGTAGTATCAATTTTATTACTACAATTTTCAGTTCCGCTATTGTCGGAATTTTTCTTTTTACTTTGTTCTTTTTAAAAATTTAAATTTTAACGTTTTTTAATCACGAAGTAAAATTGATTTTCACTCATTTTACCAATAATCATGACAAGAAAGTCGATAATCATGAATATTTTTTGTAATCATCTCTTTCGAATATTACAGATTCAGTGTGAATAAGTTAAGATTTTCAGCTAGAACACAAATGGCGTAAAACGTGTAGTCTGATCTTATGAAAAACAGCATTCTTTCAATCAAGCTTGAAATAATTCATTTACGCCAAAGATATTAGAATTTGGAAATGATTGTTGAGACATATCCAACATCAGGCTATCATTCGAATCAATGGCAAAAAGTGAATTATTTGTTTCATTCTTCTGTTGTGATATTGTACGTC